TTTTATATAAATTTTTTTTTAGCAATTTTATTCAACCATTTAAAGTTTTGTGTTTATTAAAACTTTGTAATTGGAATATTTTTTTTTTTAGTAAGCAATTTTTTTATTTTGTTAATTTAATTTTTTTTTCATGAAATATTGAGTAACTATTTTTATTTTAAATTACAGAATTTATTGCAAGTCATTAAAAAAATTTTACATAAATTGAAGTATTGATTATTTTTAATTTAAATTTTATATTTAATATGTAGCCATATTAAAAAAAATTGTTTTGGGTTTAATTAAAGGAGAAATTTATTTATTTGGATAAAAAAAAATACGCACAATAATATTGGAGCAAAATTTAAGATTTAAATAAAATTTTTATTTTATCTTTAAAAAAAAATGGACATTGTTATGACAAGAAATAAAATTGAAGGAATTATTTTTTTCTAAATCTAAAAAAATTTTTTTTTAGCTAGAACTTTCTGCTAAAAAATAAAACTGTTTAAAATTTTCAATAAATTAATATCTATTTACAACAATACTGATTTTTTTTAGTTTATTTTTTTTTTAATACGATTACTATTAAATCTTTTAAAAAAACCTATTTATAGAGATAAAAAAAAAATTAATTTGAATCAAGAAAAAAATTCTTAAATTAAGTAAAATTTATTTAGACCAAAAAAAAATATAATTTAAGAATTTTTTAACTCAAATCAAGACATATTAATAAATTGTCCATATTAATAAATTAGATTTTTATTATTTTAAAATAAATAAAACAATTTTTTAGTAGCGTTTTAAAATTTTAAATAGAAATTAATAAAAGCAATACAAATAATTTTGTTAATTTGAGTATAAAGATTTTATTAATAAAAACAAACTAAATTTAATTCTTATTATTTAAAAATAAATAAAACAATTTTCTAGTAGCGTATTAAAATTTAAAATAGAAATAAAATAATTTTGTTAATTTGAGTATAAATATTTTATTAATAATAAACACAAACAGGTATTTGTATGTATTAATTTATTGAATGAACGGTGGTACTAAAGGCGTAAAATATAGATGGTTAAATTGACAGAGAGTTACCGTCTGGTGAATAAGTGGGTAAGTAAGTGTAGAGGGAATGGACCGAGAATGAAATGGAGCAAGACATGCATTGGCGCGTGTCGGGAGTGCCCTCGTCGACATTACATCTAAGATACAGCCTCTATATACTGCTCAGTACCCGCAGAACTTACCAATGATAAATTTAAAAAACAATATTTAAAATAAAAAAAAAAAAAAAAAAAGAGAGAAAATAAATAAAAGTAAAAGAGTAAGACGTTAAACCCGAGGGAGAGTACAAAAGTATCAGTGAGAAAGAGAGAGTAGTATAAATTGCATGTACCTACATATAATATAAATACTATTCTAGTATTTATATATATAGATATAAATACAAGCTTAGTTATGTCTTGTTACTTTAACTTTGCGTATTTCTCTCAGCTCCCAGCAACACTCTTAGGGTACAATCCAAGGATCACCGCTGGCAACCGGAGAGATTTACGCCGCTTTCGTTGTTGTACATATATGTACAAATATATACATATATATGATAGGAGAAACAAGACGACGGGCTGCATAGGTCACGCGTTACGAATTTCACAGTGGAATGCAGGATTTGCTTAATGATATACGTCCCGAGGATATTGAAATAGGAGGCGAGTGAATGCCCACGTTGTTGTATTTCTACTATACCTCTACTCCTACCCTCCTTTCCCTCTCTATACTCTTCTTTTTATTATTCGCTTAAATCATACTCTTACTTTACTTATATTGCTCTTTACTGCTTAGTGCTCGAAATTTTTACGCGGTCTTTATTACATCTGAAACATTGCAAATCCATCGGGTTATTGCGAGACGCTAAATTCATTTGAGTTTATATTATTATTCAAGATCTAAATCTAAAGCGTCTACTTACCAGCAATACATTAAATTGTTTTATTATTACAATTCTAAAATTTCTTATTGTAATTATTATATAAATCTCTGATTTATATTTACAAAATAATTTTAAAGAAATTGGCTGTTTTTTTCACACTCTTTTTTTTGAAATAAAGTAAAAAATCTATTAAAAAATTATCAGTTAAAATTTTAAATATTAAATAATAAATAATTATACTTAGCACTAATTATAATAAATAATTTTTACTTACAAACATTAAATTTAAATATTTGATAATTTTAATTATAAAATTTCTTTTCATTTCAAAATAATGAATTAAATTTTTAAAAAATTACAATTTTTCCTAATTAAAAAAATAATTTATTTAAAATTTTAAATTTCAACAAAATTAAAAAAAAAAATTCTTTTGATTTTTTCTAGACCATTTCTTCTTTAATTTTAAATTTTTTAAAATCCATCAGAAAATTACCGAGCTGAGTATTATGATTATATAAACAATTTAAATAATAAATTTTATATTTACAAACATTAAATTTAAATATTTGATAATTTTAATTGTAAAATTTCTTCTTATTTTAAGATAATAAATGAAAATTAAAAAAATTATAATATTTAATAAAATTAAAACAATTTTATTTGAAATTTTAAATAAAATTAATTTCTTCTCATCTAAATTTTGCAACAAAGTAAAAACTCCATACAATTGCAACACTAAGTATTATCATTACAATAAAAATATTCGGGATAAAGCGTGTACTTACTTAAAATAAAAAAAAAAAAATTAAAGTAATGTATAATTTTCTTGTTAATTTATATACTAAATATTATTATTGTTAAAAATAATTCTTTAAAACAATTCCAACGGGCCGTTATTATTTACCGAGACAACAGCTTTCGTTCCCTCTTTACTTGTTCTTAAACTTTAGTATTATTCTCATTGGCAAATCACCGCGGGAGATATGTGCGTTAGTGTACAGATAAATGCATGCAGGAGTTTGTAGTCAGTATAATACACAAGTAGTAGTAAAGCGGTTGTATATACCGACGACGATGAGAAGAGTCACTTCTCATTCTCTCGAGACGGTCAGTTGAGTACATGTGGGGGTGGATGAAGGCGGTAAAACCGCAACCAAGACCACAACAGCCTCCACTGTACCACCGCACACTTAACTGCCTTGGGCTTAAAACCACGAGAGTCCAGGTCCAGGTATATAGAAGAGGCTTCAGACCCCCGGGCAGTGACAACTTCCAGGCGATATTCTGCTCTACTCTTCTTTCTTTTATCTTCTATTTCTCTGTATATCCTTTATATTTCTTCGGGTCTACAATGTACATACACTCCAACCACTCGACTATTATTCATATGTATATTTCCAAACTACTGGACCCGAGTGATATTGACTCCTAATAACATTTTAAGCCGCGGAACCGCCTTGAAGGAATGAAATCTTTAAAATGCTAATTTGGCAATTAAATAAATTATTTATTCGCCGACTGTCATGATCTTAAATAATATATATGTTTATTAGTACTTAATAAAATAAACTAGCAACTTTGCAGTCACTATAAGACATGTGAACTATAAATAAATAAAATTTTGCTATTTTAAATAATGAATTTCGTTAAATTGCACTGTACTTTCTTAAACATTGACATTTTTAAAGATATAAGCTCATCCCGACGTTACACTCATCAAGAGCTTTCATTTAAGTACCCACATGCATTTTTCATATATTTGTCATATAACATATATATAAATATATAAAATATATGAAAAATTGATGTGGGTACTCAAATGAAAGGTCTTGATGAATGTAAC